GTAAAAATAAACAGGGAAGCTTCTGATGGATTCAGAAAGATAATACAACTTAGAGAGAAAAACCCATTATTTTTTTTATCAAAGACAATGAGAAAAATATACCCAAATCGTAATAAATCAACATCTAATTTTTGAATGAAATATAACTTTATCTTATATACCCAAATAACACTGTGTTTGAAATTGCTCCCTGCATGAGCACAAGAAAGCCAAAAGAATGTGCTTTTGACTAGAAGATGACAAAGATTAGAGATATGCGAATCAACATGCAGAAATATTACCAGGGAGAAATCCAAGTGTATAAAAACAGACATGTAGGTCTACACATACTAATATACATTAGATGAACCTTAAATACTTATTATAGCCTCAAATACATATTGCACATGTATATTTAGAAACTAGATTTTTTATATTAATATTTTTTAGTCATACTACTTACATATTTTTTATCAAATGCTTCAAAAGCTCCCTTGAGCCACTTCACTATTTGCACTGCAGGTGCAAACTGTGACTTTTCATATATTATTTTTACTGGCACCCCATCCATTTCTCGATCCATAAATGCCTCCTCTGGAAGTAATCCTCGAAGATACACAATATGTGAAATTGACATTGCCACCAGTTTCTTCACAAAAAGTGATGATTGTACTTCATTCACAGGTCTGGTTGTTGATGATGTCTGCAGTATAAAGAATGAAATATTGATTATTGTTTTACAATAATTAAGTGTTAAAAACTAACGTAGATAACTCTTTCTCCATTTATACTAGTTATTAGCATTCATACAGCATATTTAAAAAAATTATTTTACAAAAATCTCAGATTCAAAATACTAATTTATTGTAGACTACATGATATTTCATGTACCTAGTGCAAAAATGGAGGAAACTTACAATTTTTCCAAATGGCCATATTAATTCTTCACATTAAAAAAAGATAATGCATTCACAAATGACTACTTTGGAAAATATGAAACACTAACAAAATAACCATTTTATTTTTAATTAATTAAAGAGTTTTAATTTTGTAGTATTTACTATTTTTTCATATTTATTGAATAATTCTTTTACAAAAACACAAAATTCTAAACGATTGTCATAACAAACGATTGTTATGAAACATTGTGTTATCCGAAGGAAATTTTCGTCAAAAAAGCTGTACAATTAATATTTAAACGATTCATATTGTCTTTGATGTAAGAAATGCAATAAGTATTGAATTGAAAAAAAATATACTGAAAGGGGGAGACATATGGTGTAGCGAATTAATTCTAGAAGGAATTTGACAAAATTAAACAAAAACTCAATGCACGTGTAAGTGAAATGACTCCACATTCCGCTCGAACTCCATACGACCGAACTCCATGCGATGTATTTCGTAGCATCCACACGTAAACGAAATTCTCTTCGAAATTCCATTTCGATTACATTTGTATATTTTTACCTGCCATGCTGTTTTGCTCATCTGCTTGGTCGCCATCGCACTGCCAGTCATGAAACTCGTTCGAATCGTCTGCCATATAAAATTGTAACTTGCACATTATACCAACATAGAAAATGAAATTATCACGGAATACCAAGTTAATAATTTCACTATTGCGTTAGTGTCATGTCATATCACTTTTTTATAACTTATAATTCGTGTAGAAGCGTTCATTTAAACAAATTCTTGAAGAATTAGTGCCGCTTCATATGCCCGATGTGTATATACCATGTTGTCAAACCTGATTTATTTTCGAAGCGATTTGTGCGACAATTAGGGAAGACGTATTTTTGTTTTGTACCAATGACAATGTTTTAAGATTTATCGTATTTGAGGTCTCTATGACAATAGCAATATACAATTTTCAAAAAAATTGTCTCTGTGATAATGGTTGTTGATTTAAGCTGAATCGATATATTTTTTTGAGGGACTGCGTTATAAAACAACTAATTTATAAAGGTCAGTACTAAGTAGTATGTAAGCTCAGACATGTGGGTATTTAAAATTATATTTCTGTCATTGGCATTCCCAAATGAACAACATTTCTTACTTGATCCCTTTTTCTACAATTTGCAAGATGAAGTTTTGACTTCTTTTAGTCTTTTCAGGCTTATATTCATAAATTAATTGTTTGTGAGACAATCAGATCAATGAAGGTAGGTATTTGAAGAAATTTTTCAAATAATACTGCACAGATTATATTTGATACACCCAAGGGGGGAGGAGAATGAATAAAATTTGTGTGTGTGGGCCTATATCTAGCATTACGTAAAATTTAATCTTAACATTGTTATAAGATTTTTTATTTTGTATTTTAAATTGTCTTCTGATTCATATATTAAATGGCTTCAGTTACAATGTTAAATAACATACAATTATTTTCAACATTAGAGAATTCTATCCAAATTTGTCTATTCTGGTTAACTATTCATTGTTTCATTTAGTATTTCATAAGAACTTTGTTGTGATCTAATATGAATGGGGCAACCAGAACCTTTCTAGAAGGAGGGGGGGGGTGAAGTCCAGGCACCTTCATGTTTTCTTATAAAGAATGTTTCATGTATGTTAAATACAATTTTTTTCTTATAGTTATTAATAACATATTCAATTCAGTTATTGATTGGCTTTCGTCACTGAGGGTTCTGTTCCCCATAGCCAAGTTGCCATCTTCTACATTCCAATCACCTCAGAGTTTATGTTTCCCATTCCCATTCTCTGATTCCTTATAGCCAGGTGCTTTTAGGTCTACCTCTTTTTCTTTTATTAGTTAATTCCATTTATTAGTTAATTCCAATTGCATCTCTCTTTTGATGTTACTATTCCTATCCATCCGTCAGCCTACAGCATCTCCTCCCGAAATCCATCTCCTCAGTCTTGACGTCATCATCTGCCTTATCTCTGTCCCTTATAGCATAATGCCATCTACTTGTTTAATACATTCTAATTTTATTTCTCTTTGTCACCTTCTAACTCTGTAAAATGCTGTGAAGTTTCTTTGTTGCATTTCTGCCTTGTCTCATTCTACATGTTTTATCATCAGATATCCTCACCCATAAATACTGGAATAATTTAGTATTTTTCAAATAAGTAAATAAGTAAAAAACATTTGTTTTTGTGGATGTGCTTGGGGGGGGGCTTTGCCCCTTGGATGATAATCAGTGAGCACAGTGAGCAGTATTATTTGAAAAAGTCTTTAAATGTCTTTATTGATGTTTGTCTCGCAAACTATTATTTATTAATGTAAGAAAAAACTAAAAGAAGTCAAAACTTCATCTTTCATATCTTAGAAAAAGGAATCCAGATAACTGTTAATAATACAAAGAAAATAAATATGTAATCAAAATAACTAATAGTTCAACAGTACTTATGAATTCAAGCCTGTCTGTTAATAAATGAAAATATAGACTTTTCAAATCGTTCCCTGCAAAATGCCTTATTACACTTCAAGCAACATGAGCCAAAAGTAATGTCTAATTTAAAGATTTTGACATCAACTTTGCAGGACTGCCAACTTCTAAAACAGTTTTTGAGTCCAATCTGTGATTTTCAAATTCAAAATGCCTCTTGTTCAGTAGGAGAGGTATTTCTTTATTTCTCTTCTCTTCATTTTGTTAGGTTTTGAGCTCTGTAGAGGTTTTGGAGGTTATTCTGCATACATGATCATTTTGTAACAATATATACCTAAATAATTAATATTAAAGTAGAATTAATTACTGATTATTTACAAGTATTAGTAAAGTGCCATACTGTAAGGCCGCGGTAACTAAGAGCTTGTACCAACTCAGGTCTTCGGTTCGAAGGGTCATGGGTTTGAGTCCTGCTTTGGACATGATAGTTTGTCCCTTGCCTCTCTGGTATATATTGGCATGGACGGCCTTGCGTTCTGCTGACCTCAGATCAGAAGTTCTGGCAAGTGTGTTGGTGTCTAGTGTATAGCCAAATACGTGTCCCATTGGGACCTAATGGGTGACTGACCAGTGGCTGGAAAATACCCTAGGGGGAATAAAAATAAAATGTATATTTACATTGGACACATTACACATAATGTCTCTAATGTTTTCTTTAATCATTACAAACAAAAATGATTCATCAGCATAAAAAGTCTCAACAATTTAAAAAAATAATTTTAAGTTGTTTTATTTACTCAAAAATATATAACTTAAGTAATATATAAAATATTACTTAAAACAGACTCAAAAGTATTGAATAAACAAGATTTTAATTTAAATTATGAATAAAATTGCATAAATTGTCCATTTAATAAATCAAAAAATTTTTCAGTTCACATTGTTGTGGCTTTTTGGAGGTTCTTATAAAGTGTTCTGCCTCTAACACTATTGTTTCTGTTTTGATTACTTATATATATTCTTCGCCATGCTTCTGAGTGTATTCTTGATTCATTTTTAAATTTTTCGTTAACTTTTAAAGAAAACTTCCAAACAAATCCAAAGTCTCGTCATAATTAGTGTCTTCAAAGAGAAATTAAACAGTTACAGATGCTTCTGATAGCAGTAATGTAACAAAACATTCTTGTATAATTTATTCTATTTTAATAATGATGAGTAGTATACATTGGAACTATTTCAGAACTTCAAATTGAACACTTATACATGTAATAATAGTAGTAATAATTCAGTGAGTGACAATTTTTATTTAAATAATTGTGCAATTCGAGTTATACCCTACATAAAATTAAAGCAATGTATTTAAGAATGGCTTTTCTTTTTTGAATCTTTTTTTAGGTGACTGTTGTTTATGTATAAAATTGCTAAAGGAGCTTACACTAAACAGAAAATAATATACTCTACGGTATGATGATGGTATTTCTTTCTATAGGGATTAATAATAAATTAACAACATTCATGATGACATAAAACTCACCTGCCTGTATTCTACAAATTGCATAACCAACTCTGATCTGTAAATAATTTACTAAAACCTCACTCAAATGCCACTAGATACTGCCAAATAAGCCCAAACAAAATTAATACATATTTGAAAGTTCAAATACACAATGCCTGCATTTCAGATTATCTCATTGTCTCAACAGAGGTTGAAAGCAACAAAACTCACTAAAAGGTTTCATTTTTGCTGCCAACCACCTTCAAAAACTGTTCCAACTTTGTACTTTTGTTTTTGAATAAAGTTAAAATAATATGAAATAATAAATTAACGAATACTATTATAAACAAATTTGTAGATAAGGCAAATTTAATATTACTCTTTTGTGACAAATACTACAAAAACATTCCTGCAGTTAGTGCCTATCCAATAGAATTTAAAAAAATACTGTAAGCACATTGTAATAAGCTTTACGATTATTATCATACCTTATTCAGACTATCATTTCCTTTTTAACATAAATACAGTTATGTGTCTGAAATTAATCTGCTTGCTAATCAGAGAGCAATGTATTATTATTATTATATTTGGTAGGTATTTCAAGTGTTTAACCTGTTAGATATGTTTGTTGCGGTGCCCTCACAATAGGTAATTAATGATATTGGGAATAGTTACTTCTCCAGCATAATTTTTTTGGTCACATAGTAAATTTCTCAATTTAGCATAACTTCACTTATCTATGATAGATACCTACCAAAATTTTAGTACACATATATTCAAGTTATGACATCAAACAAATTGTGAATAAAGTGTCTGTCAACAGATTCGCTATGGTGGAAGTAGAGAAGAACTTGCAAATTGAAGAAACTGCCATACCTGAGAAGAACAACAACATTTCGGAGGAAACAGAAAATTTGCAAGACAGCTCAAGTGATATTACTTATTCAGAGGAAATAGATTTGGCAGGAGATAAACACGAAACATTTAATGAGAGGTCAGTTGAAGAGTCACAGCTTCCACCTTCAAAATGGTCAACTTTGACGCGTGCATTTCGTTTGGGCATGTCTCATGATTCTCAGCATTCTTCAAATAAAGATGTTGACAAATCACTGCAAAATGAAATGAAATCAATGAGCAAAAGAAGTTCTCTGGGGAAAATGTTTAGACATGGTTTTCACAATGAACAAAGACCAAATAGTGCAGCAGATCATGCTAAATCTGCTTTTGATTTAACAGAAAAATCCGAAGAACCATCTCAAAGCACTGAAAAAGGAATGAAATGGAACTTTTTTAAATATGGAAAATCCAACCAATTGTCAAGCAATGAAGAAAGAGCAACATCAAAAGATGATGCCAAGAGGAGACCTCTCAGTCGAATTTTACATATAAGATCTCGAACTCCCAGAGAACAAGAAAGCAAAATGTTTGATGCATTGGATGGAAATTCAAATGAAGGGCAAATTCCCAGCCCTGATTCAAGACGTCATTCTCTAGGAAAATTATTTAGGCATAATTAGGTGTTAATAACTGCAGGATTTGCATGAATATAAATCTGTATATGAAAAGAAATGTAAAAAATAGTGTCTTCAAATTCTTTAAATATATTATCAAATATCTTGAAAGAATAAAAAAACTTGTTTAACATACATGTTGTAATGAAAATACAATAATTTTGTACATACATAATTTCAGTATATCATTTGTGCAATAAATATTTCAAATTTTGCTGTGCATTTATTTACATAGAAATAACTCTACATGCAAATTGATGAATATTTATATTTGAGTTTCATCCTCTGTCCAATGATTTGGTTAAAAACTCTCATTTGGTCTTCTTTGAAATAAAAAACTACTAGACACATTTGAAACTTGTGGTGTTTAAATAGAACATGCTTTCTTGGGTTATTTGTAATGGCGACTTTGAATATGTATATGTATATGTATATGTATATGTAAAACAAAGTCAGGTTATTTACATTTATTACTCAAGAACGGCTGGACCAATTTTAGTTATCTCTGATTTGTTGGATTCATCTCAGCCCCAAATAGAAGAATAACTGTTAAAATATCGGAAAATGCAATAGATGGCTCTACAGAACAAAACTAAAAATCCATGTCAAATGCAAAATGGCAACACACACAGCAGGATTTTTACTTTTCCGAATGCATACGTATATACGGAAAGTTATGTAATGCTGAGCCAAAAACTGCGGATTTTCGGCAGAAAAAATTCATTGTTGGGCCCTGTTAACGAAAAAGTGGATAAATCAAGTTTTAAATTAAGAAAAAAAACTTCTAACACGTGGTGAAGCCAAAATCCCTGTTTTGTGGGTTCTTGATACCGCAAAAACAATTGACGGCAAAATGTCCGTCCATCTATCAGTGTACGAACACCACTAGCGCCTAAAGCATACGTACGATTTTTTCCCCCAAAATGGATATTCCCCGGTCGATCAGGCTCCACTCGAGACGCCTCAATTTTGACAAACTTTCTTCAAAGTTTGGGGCTACTTTACATGAAGCACCCTGGACATTTTCAAAATTTTCTCAAAACTTATTACAACTACAAAATTGAAGACAGATAATTTTCCTTCAAATGAAATTTGATTTCTATAATTGGTTCTTTCATTAAGGTCACGTACATTTTTTGAACTTTTAATAGTTTTCGCGCAACATTGCGTGCAATATTTGCATTTTAAAAAATTCCAAAAACAAGATTTTCTCAAAAACGACTTCAAACTTGTTCTTTAAACTTTTGGTAGAGATAGTGCTAAATGTACTCTATGAAATGACATTAACGCCATATTTCTCTATTCTTTTGTTTTTTCAAAATTATAAAAATTTAATTTTTTTAACTCACGTCGTTAATTACATTAGTGGCGATTTGTTCACATTATTTTATTTATGGCTACATGTGCTTTAAATAATGTCTTACCTTGTTTCTCGAAAACAACCATTTTCTGTAAAAATGAACTCTATATTCCTCATTTTCAGAATCGCTCAAACGCTATTTTTTAAAAAAACTCTCCTCCTTTTTCCTTCTAAATTTTTGAACGGGTAGTGCTAATTGCAGTCATTAATATGACGAAAAGTTTATTATCTTTTTGCTTTGTTCCAAAACTACACGAATGTATTTTTTTAAAGATCTCTCATATCATTAATACGCACATTTCCAGTTATTTTTAAACATTCTTGCATATGTGACTGGAAGTGCTAGAAGTAACTTCATATGAAGTTTTTTAAAAACTTTTCTACGAAAAGAGGTTCAATTTTCGAATTTACAGTGTCGCGTAAACGCCATTTTCTTAAAAACTGCTCAAAATTTTGCAATAGAAATCGCCTATAGAACGAGTTTTTACTATTATTTAACATTCTTAAAATAATAGTCATGTTCTACTATTCGGAAACCGAAAAATAAGGAAAATTTTGAAAAATGTACTTTGGCGATAGGTGTCAGCCGGCAAGTCCGAATAACTAGCCGAGACCAAAGGAAATAGGAAACAGATACGGGAAAGTCTATGTCATTCTGTAACACTACTAGTTACTTTCTCGTATACGTATGTATAAGAGTAATATTCGTAGTATATTATATAGAAAGTTATTTAATGCTGAGCGAAGAAACGGCGGATTTTCGTCACAAACATTTCCGAGTCGTGATAAAAAGGATAAATCCTGTTGCTTAATTAAGGAAAACAAGTCCTCTAGTACGTGGTGTATCCAGAATTTGTTTTGTGGATCCTTGATAACGAAAAATCGATTGACGGCAAAACGTCCGTCTGGTGTACGTGAACAACACTAGCGCCTTAAATGGACTTTCCAAACTGAATAAACTCCTGTCCATTTGGCCTGAGTCCAAGCTCAGCGATTTTGAAAAACATTCATTAATTTTTGGGATACTTTACATAAAGACCCACAATCATTTTATAAATTTTCAAAAGTCTCAAAAGTATGAGATTTTGAAATTTGAAAATTTAATTATACTTTCTATCTCTTAGTTATTTTAAGTGTTTTTTAATGTATTACAATTTTATACTAGTTGATGGGGTAGCAGTGTGCTCTGAAACGTAAGCAAGTTATGTGATTGTTAACAATTTAAATGTCTTATTAAGGATTAGTTTAAAGAAACATGTTGTGAAGATGACACTGAGAAATGAATGAGTTGGTTTTAGCTTAGGTTCTGACATAGAGTAGTCTCAAGAAACAGATCTGCATCTAGGGACTATTGTAGACTATATGTCAGCAAGCACCTTAACTGTTCATCTGACTAAAGAAGTCTAAAGGATAAATTTTTTGAAGGAAATTTAATATATTTAGTTGTATTTTAGGGCACTTTTTCAAAAATGAAACAAACTTTTTTCGTAAGTTTTAAGGAAAATTTTTTTTAAAAAATGTAGTTTTGTGTCATTGCAAAATTTTACGACCCAAAATATCTAAGGGACGCCATTCCAAGTTAATTTAATGTCTTCTATTTTTCTCTTAACCTTTCTATCTTTCAAGAAAAGTGTGTAGTTTTCAAGTTATATGTGAAAAACTAATAAAAAACGAATTTTTTTGCTGTTATCTCAGAACAAACAACATTTATGAGGTATCAAAGTTAAAATTCATAGTCAAAAACACATAATAATAATCTAGGGAAAAAAATTTCTACAGTTTTTCCTCTGGCTTAATATATTTTTTCATCAACAGACTTGATTACTATGTAGTGGTGAGAGGATACTTTCTTTTGACTGGATAGTAATCTTGGAAAGACAACAAGATAGTTTCTTCCGTAAGTGGGGACGATATCATTAGTGTTTTAAAATTAATGTTAAGACTATCTAGAAAAGGGAACTGAAGATGCATCAATTTATGTCATGGGATGATTTCTGAAACTATAATATAAATGAACAAATATTAGATTACTAAATCATTTTCATGTCTACATCACAACTGTAATATCTTTTTGTATCTACTTCGTTTATGTAACAAATGTTTTGAAAAATATAGCTCAACCTATTTGATATGTACTTGTTGAAGTGCATAAAGACATAAAAATTTACCTCATACTTAAATTTTCTGACCACAACCTTGTTAAAAATTCTTGTGTAAAACACTGGATGTGATTGAATGCCATTCCTGTTTCAAAAAGTTAGTGCACAGCAGAAGACATCTGCAAGATTTAATGCTTGTGTATGTGGCACCAATCTTAATTTTTTTAGTGCTTTAAAATTGTATTGTATAAATGTACCATTTATTATAAAATTTCCTGTGAAATATTGACCCAAAGTGAAAATTGTGAAAATGTTCCTTTTACTCTTGGATAAAATGTAGTAAAATATTTATGTATAGTTATATTTTATTTCAAGAGGAAAATAATAATAATAATAATAATAATAATAATAATAATAATAATAATAATAATAATAATAATAAATGTATTCTGTATGATAAAATTATTGAAGTTCATTTTAAAAGAGAGAAAAATATTTTTAATTTAATATTTTTAAACTAATTTTTCAAAAGTTATCAATTAAAAATACTAGTAAAGATGTGCAGAGTTTAAGCAATTTATATGTTCATTCTAAAAATGAGAAACTATAAAAAATTAAGATGAAAATGAGCTTGAGAAGAAAGTTCGTTTGTTTAATATAATCTATCATAACAAATATATATATTGCTCTGTTAATAGCGGTAATAAAAATAAAACTATTTTTGTCACACTAAACTAAAACAAATAAGTCAATTAATAAGAAATGGATCACTGTTTAGGGAAATTATAATTACAAATATATTTTGAGTTGGTTCGCTTTCATCTGTCAGAATGTGTTTACAAGGTAAGTTGTTGGTCATTACTAGGGGGCGGATTTTAATGAAATGTCATTTTGTTTTCTTTTTCCTTTAGAACAATGCCGTTTAAAATAGAAATTCATTTTATGTTGTGACGAATTTCATAAGTAACATATGCAACAGCTTGAGTTGTTTATCTGAGGTGCTTTTGATCAAATTTTTTACATCTTTCTTTGTTTTTAGGCGATTTTTAAAACATTTTAAGAGCATTTTATTGATCATTTTTGGCAATGTTTCAGGTAATCAAAATCCGCCCTCTAGTCATTACATCTAACTTGGCTTGGACTTATCGTTTTCTTTTAAACCAAGAATAGAAGGTTGATTTTTCAAAACCAGCATCAAATCTATATGATATCCTTTTAATAACAGTGTTACATACGTAATGGAGTCAGTAAAGTTTCAATTGGAGAATCTCTTATTGCGCGACGATCAGTTTCGACGATTGAAGATGCGCGCTATACGCGTTGCGAACTCGCGTTTCTGTTGTCTCCAGTGAGAAATGTGTGAGAGCAAGCGACGCGTGCGGTTCTGTGTCCGAGTTTGTAATCATCAGTACGAGGAAATAACTGCAATACTGAACTCTAGAAACAAATATTCTTTAGTTAGATTAAAGTGTTTATGAGACGTATTGTTTTGAAAGAATAGGAACAAGTTTGGTAATCATCTCACAACTGCCTTCTGAACATGTAACCGTGCGTGACAGGTCCCGTGCCCTCCAGAGAAATGTTTTCTGTACCGCGAATATTGAATTACGAGTGTACATTTGATGATCTCCTGCGGTGCTAATTCAGTTTCTAGTTTGGAAAATTGTTTATTATTCGACATATTTGTCTCTAATTTTCTGTTATCAAGCAATATATTTCCTTCCTGAAATGATAACTTACAATTTCATTGGTTACTGTTAGTTTTCTTATTTGACATTGATCTAGCTCGTTTTAATTTCATTGCTGCTATTTTGAGACAAACATATCTTGTCTTCATTACACAATGTTTTAAGGATTGATATTTTCCATAACTATGGCAGAAATCGACATGGCTGAGACAGCTACTGCAGACGAAGCATTGCATTGCTTCGTTTGCGACGTAGCAGTAACAGGAAAGCATTACACTTTAGCTACATGCCGAACTCAAAGTTCAAATATTCGCCTAATAGAAAAATTGGGACAGCTTGTGGGAGAGAGGTACTTAATTTCAGAGGAATTAAGAGATTTGTATTTGTAATCTTCATAAATGTTCTGAAACCATTTCTTGTTTGTAGGTACATGGTTGTTATTTGTGAGGATGATATAATATGTCGAGGATGTGCCAACTTAATCAACACTCTAGATAGACTTGAAAATGAAATGGATTCTGTGCGTAAAGTTGTTTTGCGCTTTTTAGAAAAAAAATATTCTCTGGAAGAAGGAGAACTCATAAATAATAAGACTTCAGCTTATGGACTGCCTCCTCAAATTACTCCACGTAATGGAATCTCCTTAAGATACTTACAATCCTACTTGTGTATTTTTATTTTTTTATTGATGCAAACTAACTTGCCACTACATACAGGATACTATATTTAACAGTTGAGAAGAATTTAATATTTGAATAGCGACTTTAGTTTAATGTTAGTTCCATCAGAAAACATTTGAAATTAGGATCTGTTCTGTACAATTATTTTCTTAAAATAAAAGTGCAAGGTCTCTACAAATATCTTACTAAAAGACTGATTTAATGTTGTCAGCGCAGTGTATTGAGTTCTTTCTTTTTGGAAATTGGTCAGTTTTTAGTGTACTGCTTTATGGAAACATTCTCAAGATACATTTTTTATAATCTAGGGTGATGAACATTTCTTGATGAAGAATATTATTTTTAACTTGCAAGAATTTGAGAAGTTTCAGTAGCGCTTTTGTAGTATTGACTTAATGAAGAATGGGTTACATATCTTTTATGCATAAATGATAGATCTTCACTGTTGCCAAGTCAGAGAATGGATTGTGATCGCTCAACGTATTTTAGTGAAATACCTTAGATAGTTTCATTTAGGAAGAGACCTAGACTGAACACATGGTGTAACAATAAAGACAGGAAAATTAGAGATGTGGCAAAAAATTATAGAATGAAGAGGTAAAAATTGAATTACACCGTATTCAATCATTATGATATTTAAGGATTAACATAAGATGTTATAAGGCATAACACTGGGAAGGTACTTTGTAAGGCATGTGAAGGCTATGAATTTATATTTATTACTCCAGAGAATAGAGAATTCAACTTATAAATGTGATCGGGTTCAGAAAAATCACCAATTTTTCATTCAAGAATTATATTGTTTTGCCATTGGATAATTGCTTGTAAATGGTTTTCTATTAACAAAAAAAGATAAGAATATTTAGAAAAAATAATTTTACCGTAAAGAATATTAATAAATTTAAAGCTGCAATCACGTAAAGCGTGTCTTAAAATCTTCAAATCCAATATACAATTCCCTTTTCCACTTATTAGTTATGTATGGTGCTAGAGGGTATAGTTTTGTTTTATTCATGATTGCACAGTTTTAGTTATGAACCTAACCAAGTGCAGTAAGTGAGGAGAAATTAATTTATATGCAAGTAAACTTCCTTACTTCTTTGAAACTTAGGTTTATAGATTGTTCAGATGTTATTCATGAAGAATCATTTATAGTAGAGTTTAATTCAACTGTTAATACAATTAAAAAGTTCCTCTCGAGGAATGCATACATTGTGAAACAAAATACATATTTGTTCCTTTGCAGGTAATATGAGCCCAAGATCAGTTATGTCAGAGAACTTTATGGTAATATTTTGGAAGATTTTTATTTTTACTTGTTTTTAATGTGTTTTCCTAACTTGTTCATGTAAAATAAATTTTGTAACATTTTAACCTTAAATTCATGGTTATATTTTGCGTGTTTTTCAGTACCAGAAAAGAAAAGCTGCTCTTTCAGAATTGGAAAATGAAACTAATTATAGTGTTTGTGATAAATCAAAGAAGTCAAATTCAAAGAATGATGTTTGGATGCAGTGTGACAAGTGTAAATATACTACTCAGTATGATGCTTTCATGAATTATCATGTGCGTCAACAGGTGAAGAAGAAGAAAGTAGATCAGACCTGTGAATCTTGTGGAACAGAAATGGTTAATGGATGTTGTGCTCAGAATTGTAATATGAGGAAAGATCCTAGCTCATTTACTTCCACATCATCAGGTATGTGAATTGCCTTTTCCGTACCTAAAATTGTAAGAATGTTTTGTTTTTGAATAGGTGTTCTTTGGGTTTACAATGTCTTAAGACTTCATTTGCAAAGATTGTGAACAATTACATTTTTATGGAAGTAAATTTTAAAATCCATCGACATTTGATGACTTTTCAAATGCATTCTATTTCATGCAAAATTCTGTGGTTGATCGGAAGTTATCTGTGTCTCGGTGCCTTTGGTTCCTTGGTGTCATCTCCTTCAACTGCACGGAACATATACATACATATACCCCCCAAATGATTTTTAAGATTAGTGATTGCATTGTTTGAATGTGTGTTCGTAATTATGCGTTGCACAGACTCAAGGATGTTTTATGTGAATGTGAATGCTGATGGCCCGAGCCTCATCCTCGACTTGGACAAGCTTAGTGAAACATCACAATTTCACTCACGTGAACTGTGACACTGCCAACTTCCAATTTACCAATTCTATCTGGTAAATGACTTGGTATTGGCAGGATAAGCAGTTTCCCAACATTATAGTTGGTTTTGAGTGACTTTAGACCTTTGTGTCACATCATGTCATTTGACTCTCATGTTACCTTTAGCAAACTTTTATTCAATTATTTTGTCGGTGGCTGTGTCAGATTCATTAAAGATAGGTTCATTTTTTAATTAAATCTGAGACCAAGCATTTTGAAAGCAAATTTGCTACCATGGAAATATGGTGGGAGGGAGGGGGGTTTCAAATATTTGCAATTATGAGAATAACAGAATTCCGATAATCTAACCCCAGCTAACTGGAATAAGGTGTAGAAGAAGAAGAACAGAATTTTAAAAAAGTATTAAATTCATGATGCATAAATCATTTAATAGTAATTCTTGAATTATTATTTAATATAACGGGAGGCTGATTGTAAATCTGCCTATTCTCTACAAAAAATAAACATTTGGTCCAGGCCTAAGAAGAAATAATTATCTATTGTGTAAGGCAATTGTAAGCAGACAAATTCAGTTTGGAAACAGTTATTAGATGGACATGACAGTGAATGTATCACGTTCCTTCAGTTGTTGAGCCTTGCACAAATGATATGAAAAGGAGAATTGATAGGTCCACAGAAAAAAACATATAATTTCCTGAAGGAATACTTGCATCAAGCTGTTCTGGAATTATTGGTTGGGGGGAGTAAATGTAAACATAGAAAGAAAGGATGTGGTGGAAGGAGGTAATTAAAGAGCTTCTTAAGGAAAAGATACTGGTGCTCAAAAGCAAGACAGCTTTAAAAGCAATTTTCGTAAAAAGACACTGTAAAAGAAATGTCATATTCCTCTTTAACCGAAGAGAAAGTGAAAAAATACATAGAAAGTAATTCAATAGAAATCTTGGTTGAAATTGTTTGTATAAAGTATGCCCTCAAGTACGTTAAAACTGTCTGAAATGATATAACTACACTTGAGGCAGCCTTGCAGGCCACTCTATATGTCTAATATGGTGGCATTGGTCGCTATCTGTCCTTCTAAAACAAAGGGTTTTAACACAACTCGCAATATTCAAGGAGACGAATATTCGAAATTTAACTGAACTGCAGGATTGATTAATACTTTTGTCGCTCTTTTTCTTAATTTTGTTAGATTTGAAGTTCAGGGAATAATGCCAAATCATTCTTATGTAATATTTACACATTACTTTATTATTTTGTTGTATAAAATCTTGTACATCCCTGATATATTATGATTAGTTGGAAGACTTTCTGGGGTAATTCACATTTCAGTGAAATCAAGTTTGATGTTGTTTTCTTACTTTCTTTCATTCATTTGTTCAAATATGGAGCTACATATTTTGTATAACTAGATTGTTTGATGTAACATTTGACTAGATATAAATCATTAACTATGTATAAATTAATTAAACTTTCCTCCCAGAAAAGTTTTAGATTTTTTTTCTTTCTTTAAGTCAATAACAAATGTATTTTACATGGTGGCTCTTAAAAAATATACTTTCATACAACTAGGATACCTTTTGGATGGATTTTCTGACCCTGTGTTTATAATCTATTGCACTTCCTTTGTCAGATACACCTGGGACAAACCCATGTTTACTTCCAGCGTGGATTGTCTCAATATATTCTTGTCATTGCGTTCCATATGTGGCTGCGTTTCAGCATTAAGGGAATGATGTTCTCCGTAGTTATATTATTAGGTGTGCATTTGATTTCCAGGCATAGTCTATCTTCTTCCCATCTTTCACAGGAAAAAAATGTGTGTTGGGCGTCATCCGGTTTTTCGCAGTATGGGGAAGTAGGACTCTTAACTCTTCCCATTGAGTATAGTTATTCTCGGAAATATTCGTGACCACTGAGCAACTGCGTGAGGTAATTGTGGGATCAATTTTGCGGTCCACTTACCGGTGGTTGCCTGGACCCATCTTTCTTGCCATTACTGTCTCAGACTGTGTTGTGCAGCCTTCTTGGCCTCATCGTGACTTTGTTCTCTTTGTGTGTGGCAGATCTCCTGTCGCTCTAAAGCAAGTAGGACGATTGGCGGTGTATTTGCTATTATAAGAACAGCTGCCTCTGAGACAGTGTGATATGCACACGTAATTCTGAGTGCTCCATGTCTAGGTATTACTACTATTTTCTTCCGGCATGATTCCTTGTTCAGCGCTCCGACCCATATCTCTGCTCTGTAGAGGAGTATTCTTGGAGTCAATACTGACATTAACAAATGCTGTTTGCTTGGTTTGGGGCCGTTGGTGTTGGCCATAAGCTTACTCAGGGCAGTCGTGTTTGTGTTGCTTTGTTGCTGCTTTTTGTAGATGCGACCAAAAGTTGAGTTTCATGTCCAAAGTTACTCCCACATACTTGGTTCTGTTGACTGTTTCGATATCACTGCCCCCACTCTAATTTTGGTGGGAATGTGTTTTCATGTTAGCATGACTATTTTGGTCTGGTGTTCTGTGAGTTCCAGGTCATGTTCTGTCATCCACATCTTAATAGGTTTCATTGCGTGATTCACCTTCCATTGTGCTTCATTTTATGAGCAGACTTACATCATCAGCAAAGCCCACTAGTTCAGTATCGGTCAGCATTTCAGTTTCTAGTAGGCCATCATATAAGGTTCTCACGAGTCCAATTCTAGGATTGATACCCGAGATGCTCCGCCCTTCAGTGCCTTTTTTCGCTGGCCTTGCCTTGCTCCGTGTCGTATATCAAGATGCGGTCCTTCAAGTAATCCCACATGACTCTCATCAGATACTCTGGAACTTTAAATTTCGTCTGTAATGTAATCTACATATCATTCCACCTGGCTGAGTAGAACATGTTTCTCTGAATTTTGCAAGTAACAAATGTGTACATCATGTCACATACTTTTGATTATAGTTATTATTGTTTTTAATGAATTCTTTTGATGTGTTAATAGTTCTGAAGACTGACCTGCCTAAACAAACTTCAAAAATGAATAGTGGAAATGATACTAATAATAAGCAAAGTAGATTACGGTCAAGAGAAAGTTCAGAAGCTGAGACTGTGGAGATGATAGCTGCAGAAATTAGTGAATTTACTGGAGTAAATGGAACCAGGCCAGAATTAGTGTTGACTGGAGTGCAGGAAAGTGTATCTTCTAGTGCTACCAGCATTGAAGGGAACACAAAATTATTGACTGACTGTGAGAATTCTTCACAGACTTCTAGTTGTGTGAATACTCATGGTGAAACTATACCATCTTCACTTGCAAATGAAGAAATGATCATTCCTGTCACTGAAATGACTCATGAACAAGTGCAGCAACAGCTTGCTGCTGGTAACATAGAAGTACAAATGGAAGGTCAAGATGGGTCAGCTCCTACAGCAATATGTGTTATGGAAATGTCGGAAGATCCTACTCCAGAATCTACTTTGGTAACTGTGCAGAAAATGGAAGATGATAATAATGCAGTATATGTTCAAGTTGTGGAAGTAGGTAAAGATGGTGATATAGATGAAACTTCTAATATTCCTAAGGTGTTGACTGTGTCTGATGATGGGACAGTAGAAATGGTAGAGGTAATGTGGGATGATATGGTAGGTACTGAAGTTGATTCAGGACAGAGTTTACAATTTTAGCAGTTTCACTATTAGGTTTTGATTTTCAGAAGTCAATTATTTTCTGTTTGTAGTTTTTGTTTTTTTAAATGAAGATTTGTTGAATAATATTGTATAATTAGTTTCTAAAATTGCATTAGATTTGTACAATATAACTTATTTTCATTTGTAGAATAATTATAGTATTCTCATTTCATTTCACAAAAGCAATCATAAAATTAAGATGTTTATTACAAAGAAGTAAAATATGGATTTCATTAAACAGTTGAGCAAAACATGACGTTCAATGTCAGAAGTACCTGTGAAATGTTATATTTTGTATTATGTATATAATACACAGAAAATATGCTTGAATTAATTTGTACTCTTATGTAGGCTTCCACAGTCATATGCTCCTTTCTGGAGTAAAACCTCCCAAATTCAATTTATAGTTACTAAATGCACATGATTTCATGGTATTAAAATCTTAATGGAACATGCATCAACTTTTGATGCATTAGAGAAATCTCATTGCAATTAGTAAATATAACTGTCAATTGTGATTCTTGTTTTCTTTGTATTATTATAACATATTGTGTGGTGATAAATTAATATACTTGAAAACCGAGACTATAGGAATCAAAAAGAAAATGTATATACTTTTGTTTTACTGAATGCATACAAAAGTATAAAAATGTAAATGTTCATGATTTGGGTATGTGTGTCTGTACTTGTATGCATATTAATGGCATGTTTTTATACACATTTGTTATTGTTCTGAATTCCATGTGTTTGCATATATTATGCATTTCAAAATACTTTCTATTTAGAAAGATTATTATGAAGATAGATTTGTATGAGATGCTTACATTATGGGTTGCTGTGCAACTACGATCTTCCCAGAAGCACAATGAGTATAAGCAATAGCAATGCAATTCTGTGAATATTTTATTCATAAATTATAAAGGAAGTTATTTGTAATTTGTAAAAATATTACTAAATGTATTCATTTTTCTTATTGGGAGAATATGTGTAAAATATTTCAGAAAATTCAATAAAATAAACATTTTTGTACACATAGTTACACTTGTATCCCTTGTGCACCTCAGGTCTATTAAAATAAAAGATTTATGTGTAGTTCTTATAATTTTTATTAGTACTTATATATTTGAAAATTAAAGACTGAACTGGAAAGCTTGTACAAACATAAAATAGAATGTTTGGAGGAAAGGTAAGTTTTCAAATCAAAAAAATTGTGGGTGTAATGATTCATGTCTGTGCATTTTGATTTGAGTTAATATAGTGTGTCCGGAAAATCTCTCCGCACTGGGCCGAGTCAGGACCTACAAATTTTATGTTGGGGATTATGTGGGATTGCTGGGAAACAAATGAAGGAGACAACAATTCTAGCATCTCTTATGATGAGAGCGGTATTTGTTTTCTTTTGTTGCAAGCTGATAGCTCTGAAGTTTTCGTTTGTTTCTCCGATTAATTCCAGGCAAATGAACCAGCACTGCGCGCGATTAATCCTTCATCCTTTTTGTCCCCCTCCTGTCGTGCACACAAGCAATGTCGAGAGGATTTGGGTATGTCGTGTTTCCGTAAAAAAGAAGCCAAAGCAAAGTGGCGATCATCAAGTTCGTTGTCAGGTGAATACCAGAACACCCGACGGATGTCGTAGGTGCACAGAAAACATCTAATGTAGAAAAAGGCGGGGCTAACCGAACGCGCGAAGTTTAAACTGAGGACGATGAGAAAAAAAAGGAACGATGAGGAATGTTCGACTTAAGAAACCAGATATCGAACGAAGAAGGACAAAGAGATACAGAAGAAAGACAGCCAATTGAGCGACTCGAATGATCGACGCCGCGACGGTCGTCGTAACTGTGAATCGCAGCACGGATATAGCAAACGAGATCACGGAGCATTCGAACAAGACGGTCGGGGGGAGTGTGCCCGATATTGTGATCTCGTCGCAATCGGCGACGGGAATACGACCTCAATGACGTCGAACGAAGGTGGACGCCGCACAGCATGTTCACCATTGGGGATGCTGAAGGATGTTTATCGAACTTCTCCGAGGATGACGGAATGTCGCCTAAATTCCGACGTTTGAGGACGACAGCGAGCTTCTGAAATGGAATGATAAACAAAAAAGTGATATATGCGAAGCGTATGCAGGAGGGGTTCGCAAAGAAATGTATGTCATCTCAAAAGACATCTAATTGGAATGCCTTCAGAAGTGCGATGTGTCCGGAATTCGCTATCAATCAACTTCGCAGTGATCCACAACCAGTTGCATCAACGTAGGCAGGCGGCGAACGAAACAGGACAACAATATGAATACTCAATGATGGAGGTTGCACATCAGGGGAGAATCGAAGAAGCAGCTTTGATTGATTACATCACAGATGGTATTCCGGACAGCGTAATGTTTTATGGCGTGGAGACAATTCAAGAGTTGAGGAAGAAATTTGAAATATATGACAAAATGAAAGACACTACACATCAGTTTAAAACAGTGTCAAGTAAAGATGAACAGAAGAAAAGTGGAAACTCCAGCAACAAGGAAACGAAGACTGAGGAAAGACAGACTGCCAGCCATGAACGGTTTTTAATTGTAGATCTAAAGATCACGAGAGATCTGGGTGCCCGTACGAGCCGAATTGCTTAAATGCAGCAGTTTCTGGCATACTTTTCGCAGATGCTAGGTTGAAATGAGAAGTAAGTTGCATTTAGTCGAACGAGGACAAATATATGTGTTCTCTTCCAATCGCAATAAATGAAGTGGAATATCGCGCACTGATGGATACAGGAAGTGATAACCTCATACAGTGGGACTTAGACAAGAAATTGGGAGGTCCAACTCTGAAGACAACGACACGATTATTTACGGGATTGGGCAACGCCATGGGGATGGCAGAATGGAAGGTCGGCATTGGTGGTGAAACATACAGTACTCCAGTTTACGTCATACCGACGAAAACCATGAATGCAGAATTCGTCTTTGTTCGGGAGTGGGTGAAAGACGCGGAGGTGACATTCCAGGAAGGGAAGGTTTCTATCAAACGGATTGCAATCAGAGCAGAGGCACCGAATGCAGAAGTCCCAGAATAGCTTAGCCGAATGCAGAAGTCATAGAAGAGCTTATTATTTTGGAATGCGTTGCAATGCCAGATATTCACGCTCCTAAACCTTATAAAAGGCAGGTCAAAAGCGGGTAGCTGACTACAAACCAGAGAAGGATGTGAAAGCTAGTGTCGGGCGGGAGATTAACTTAAAGGACGAAGAGCAGATCAGTTTACCACCACGAAGATTGGCCCCGAAAGAAAGATGCATCGTAAATGCGCAAGTCGAGCAATTGCTTAGAGACGGAGTAGTAAGTCCAAACGCAAGTGAGTATGCCGTCCCAGTGTCAACACTAATCAAGAAGGAACAAGATGACGGCTCAAGGTGATCAAACAGCTAATCTGATCAAAGAACAGTTCAAATAATATTTGATAGAGGACAGTAGTTTAGAAAAAACCGCGAAGGTGTTAGAAGAAGAAAGAGACACCGTGAGAGCAATTGCAATTAATATCATAATCGCAATAATGTAATCAGAATGTTCCCTAGAGATTTTACTAATTAATATGAGGAAGGTAGTTCTGACACACATGATCAGAACAAGAATCCCCGAATTTTCGAATAGCATACCGTACCCTTAAGAAAGTCAGTGTGCGTGATGTGGTAATAAGAATAAAAGCCTCTGGCCGAGACAAAATTAGTGAAAAAATACTTTTGACTTAAGCCTATTGAAACATCACTGCTAGAGAATATAAGACATACATTCATTTTTCGAAAAAACAACAACAAAACTATGCAGTATTTTGCTAGTTATCAAAGAAGAATAGAGTTTCGTTTCCACTGATTACCGCAACGTTTGAGAAAGCAGATTTCATTTTCCTGTTCTATAAGTTTGGTACTATTTACTTTTTTCTTTCATGAAAATTCATCTTGGGTAGGAGTGATAAATTTAATATTTGAAAGGTTTATTTTCTAAAACCTTGTGTTTCACGGTAGTGGTGCACAAGATGCGCGACTGCTTTGTTTGCGGAAGGGGAGGGCAAGCTGGGTGGTCGCTAGCAGGTGGGATATATAACATATTTACCGCACGCCCCTCTGTCGTTATATCTTCGACGCTTGACGCAATGTTCTCACAAGAAAGAAGGATAACAAATTAAATGAAGTTAGCTAAAATCTGTAATGGCTACTACTCAACTCATTGGGTGATTCCAATTTAAGATCATCCTGAACATTGGACATCATCCGTTTGTCATTGTTATCTCTGAATTTTCGAAAATTGCAAAAGTTTGAACTTTTGCGGTATTTTCCTACAACTACAAAATTGAAGATAGAGATTTTTCCTTAAAATGAAATTTTTTCTCCATCATTCTATGTGTCATGTGTAAATTGATTTGAAACGTTTAGTAGTTTTCGGGCAATATTGCGTGCAAATGTGCAATATAAAAAAACAACAAAAAGTAGATATTCTACTAATCGGCTCAAATTTTTTCATTAAAATTTTGGTAGAGATTGAGCGAAATGTACTGTATTAGATGATAAAGGCCATATTTGCATTATTATTTTGTTTTGTTTTTATTGTCTCGCGCTTGCTAACGTAGAAGTATAGTGCCTCAGAAAACAGCGAATTTTCGACCCAAAAACTCTTCTTCCCGGACTCTAGTAAAGAAAATGTGGATAAATTCAGTTGCTAAATATAGAAAAAATCATCTAACACGTGGTGTAGCCAGACTCCATGTTTTGTGCGTCCTTCACATCAAAAATCGATTGACGACAAAACGTCTATCTCTGTGCACAACGCTAGCGCCTGAACTGTTCTGCCAATGTTCTTCAGAATTGATACTCCTCAATCGATCTGAATGATATCGTTGATTTAGGAATTTCAAAAGGATATTTTCATTTCTGAGGGTACTCCAAACGCATTTTCAAACTTTTCTCAAAAACGGCTCCAAATGTTTTGATTAAATTGTTTTGTTCAATAGTGCAAATGACTTTAAGATAATTGTTTAGATCTCATTTTTGGTGACTTGTACGTTTTTTAGAAAATTGCAAAAAAAAATTCAAAACTACAAAATTTAAGATAGAAATTTTGTTGTAAATTGAGCTCTTTAAAAACGATTGTGTATTTTTTTTGTAAAAGTGAGTAGTTTTAGGCGTCCCGTCGTACACAACAGTACCATTGTATTATTGCGAGAAAGTATGTGCTATTTTAGCTCCACATGTTTTCAAAAATTACAAAAAAATAATTTTTGGACTTGTCTCCCACGTTGTTAATATTTACATTAGCGACGATTCATTCACGACATTTAGGAAAATATGTGTTGCAAATTATGTCTTTTGTTTCTCGGAAACTAATAAGTTTTGTGTCGAAATGAGTTCAAAATTCCGCGTTTTCAGAAATTTTCAAACGCCATTTTCTAATAAAAAATTCCAATTTTTCTGAAAACTTTTCGAATGTATGGTGCTAATTGCACTATTTAAGATGATAAAATTAATTTTGTCATATTCTTCTGTTAAATATTCAAATGTAAATTCTTTTAAATAACTCTCACTCCATTAATATGTACATTGCCAGCGATTTGTAAACAGTTTTGCATTTGTGATTAGAAGTGCTTCAAATGAAGTTTTTCGAAAACTGAAAAGTTTTCTGTGAGAAAAGATTCAAATTTCGCATTTACAGTGACCCTTAAACATTTTCTTAAACACGACTCCAAATGTTTCAACGAAAATTGCCTTAGAGGACGAGGGTTTACTCTTCTTTAATATATCGGTTATGGCATTAAGAAACCGAAAAATTGAGAAACTTTCAATACATGTGCTTTGGGCGGTAATAGATGGCAGCTGATAAGAGGATCGGTCAAGGCCGCTAAATTTAGAAAAAATCCTCTAACTCGTGGTGTAGCCAGAATCCATGTTTGTTGGTTCTTGATACCGAAAAGTCGACTGCCGGCAAAACGTGCCTGTCTATCCGTGGTCAATACTATCGCATAAACTGTTCTGCCGATTTTCTTGAAATTTGATATTCCTTAATCGACCTAAATGAACGCGAAGCTTTGGGAGTTTCAAAGGGAT